GAAATAATTAGTGTACAGAAAGAAGGTGTAAAATTTGTTAACTGGACAGATAAGAGATCAGTATTGATGTTAACAACATATAAATACCACAAGTGTTCCCTTATGGAAGTCACTACCAGAGGACACAAAACTGTGCAAAAGCCGGATTGTGTTATAAGCTATAATAAAGCCAAAAAAGGAGTCGATATTTCTGACCAAATGTCAGCTTACTATAGTTCACTTCGAAAAACCGTTAAATGGTATAGAAAGATAATATTAGAATTAATCTGTGGTACCATGTTAGTAAATGCATGGTGCGTATATACTAAATTTGGTACTCGTAAAAATGTCTGTATCCTAAATTTTCGTAAAAAAATAATTGATTGCCTTTTGAAAATTGAAAATGAACCTCTTTCGCCGAAATCACCACTCACTCATAATCTGGCGAAATATGAAGGATCTCTAAGACGGACAAGGAAACGATGTAAGAACTGCTATCGTTCAATAGCTGAACAAGAAGGAAGGGAAAATGCTATCAAGAAGACCATAAGAGTCAACACTTATTGCCCAGCCTGTAAAAATAAACCAACGCTTTGTATCCCATGTTTTGCAAAAGTTCATTACTGAGTTATGCTTCATTTATAATTATTGTTCATTTTGACTCTTTTGTTTGACGAATTGTTTTTTTTTATATTGAAAATAACTATGAAAAATAAATTATTCTCATACAATATACAATATATTCTTTTATTTTTATATATTTAAAAAATATTATTTCTTACTCCCAATAAATGCCTAAAAATAATAAACACTCTTTCGGCCAAAAAAGTCTTGCCGGCGGACAGAAAGTGTTCGCCAACAGACATAATTTTTCTTTTCCATTGTATATTATCATCTAGTCTCTTCCCAGTTGTTCAATTTAAAGTATGCTTTTTCAAATAAAATTAGAAATATATGAGAACTACCGATGGTCCACGCCGTCAGACAGAGCAAACTGGGTGTGGACCACCGGTGGTTCACGCCGCCAGACAGAGCAAACTAGGTGTGGACCACCGGTGGTTCACGCCGCCAGATGAAAGCAATGCCTGTGAACCACCGGTGGTTCGCGCCGGGTTGAATGTGTTAATATTAAAATGTGTTATGTAACATATACAAGATAAATAACGAAACGTGAAATTGTGAAAAGTATAAAACCATTAAAGCAGGAAATATAATGAAGTTTTTAATTTATCATGTAAACCTCGATATTATATTAAAGAAAACATGACAAGATTTCAAATTGTTCACTTCTAAGCATACTCTGTTAGCGTAAATACAATTGATGCAACTAATAATAATCGTTTAATGTGCAATATTTTTTAGTATCATTTTTACCGAGTGATGAGAGAATAATAAATGATTAACAAGAAGATCATAAATAATGACTAACAAGAGGATAATAAATGATGAACAATTCATGATTATTTGATAGGACTGCATTTACATCAACTTGCGATGAAACTTAAAGTGATTGTTGATCGAGAAACGTCCGTTTCAAACCGTGCTTCGGTTTAGTCTTCAATCGACGGCTGACTGAACAATTGTGAAATTTCAGCCACGCGTTGCGAGGTGTAAGTGACGTGCAAATTATGAGCGCGTAATTTCTTTTAGCATGTCATAAGCATCTCCGCAGGAGCGCACGTGCGAACGAGAGAGAGAGAGAAAGAGAGAGAGAGAGAGAGAGAGGGGGAGGGAGAAAGAGAGAGAGCGAAAATAGCACATGTGCAAGAATTCCTTATTTGTTTCTCTCTCGGTGACAAAAAATGCGCAAATAGTCAAAATACTTTTTATCCTTGAACTAATTTGACGAGAGTTGCCGGGCGAGAGAAATTATTTCTGACGAGTGTAAAAAAATAAGGAACATCTGCAACAATACCTTACTCGTATATTATGATTATCGCGGGCCGATTGATTAATCGGCAAGGTCGCCGCCAGACGTCGGCGAGACAATAGTTTGGGAAATTCGTACGCAATCTCTGGAAGATCGCGAAATCGCTCGCAAAAGAGAGAAGACACGCACAAGATGGGAATCCCAGCGA